GAATTGTATTTAAAAAAAATGATGTAATTATTGAATATGATTCTTTTTAGTTTTATTAACTGAAATCATAATTGAATCTCTTCAGTCTCTCCAGCTGCTCTGACTGTGAGTCCCAGCAGATCTCAGTTCTTTGAAAGAGAAAAAGTTTCTCTGAGCTGCTCTGATGGAGGAACTGTGAGGAGAAACACAAGCAGAGGAACCAGGAAGCGATGTGGAGATGGATGGGGGAAGTTAAACGGTTCTACCTGCAGCATCAGCTTGTTGTACCCACATGACTCTGGCCTGTACTGGTGTGAGTCCATGTCTGGATCCTCCAGCAGCAGCAGCAGCAGCATCCAGCTCTCTGTCTCTGGTAAGATCAGACTGTGGAGTTAGTGTTGCTGTGTGGAAATGGATGAAATGCTGTAGTTTGTCTCTGTGTTGAGGTGGATCAGTGATCCTGCAGAGTCCTGTCCTCCCTGTGATGGAGGGAGATGACGTCACTCTGAGCTGCAGAGCAAAGAGTCCAGCCCACAACCTCCCAGCTGCTTTCTATAAAGATGGCTCCTTCATTGGTGATGGACCATCAGGTCACATGACCCTCAACCTAGTGAAGAGATCTGATGAAGGCCTCTACCACTGTAGCATCAGCGGTCAGGGAGAGTCTACATCCAGCAGGATCTCTGTGGAAGGTCAGAGGTCAACCACTGTGTATCTTATTGAGAATCCACAATCTGGTAATATTCTTATCATCCACCTTTATTATAGAGAAACCTCCCACCACCCCTCCACCCTCCTCCTCCTCTTCCTCAGGTGAGCAGCTTCTCCTTCATCTCTGAGTCTTGATTTTCACAGCAGACGGTTATTTAGCAGCTTCTTCTTTCTAGAGAGACCCACCATCATCTCTGACTCTACAGACCCACCTGGTCCAGGTTCTTCCTCCAGCTCTCTCCCACTACTTCCTCTCGCTGCATCTGGTTGTGGTTTGGTTTTCCTGGTGTTGCTGGTTGTTCTGGTTTTACTGGTGAAACGACGAGTTCAAAATAAACCTGAAGGTGAAACAAACTTCTGGTTAAATCTCATGATTCCATTCACTGAAAGTTTTCAGATCTTCCTGAAAAACTTCCTGCTTTGGATTCATTTCAGACAATAAAGGAGGAAGAGGAGAGGATGACATCACTTACAGCGACATCAGGATCTCCCAGAGTAAACAGAAGAAAACCAAACCAGAAACAGGAAATGGTGATTATGTTCATGTGTTTTTGTTTCTATAAGATTTTTATATTGATCAGAAAATGTTTCCTCATCAGGATCTCCATTAAAAGTCTCTATTAATGTCATGTTGAGGTCAGAGTTTAAGTAAATAAATGATGGTTAACCCAAAGTTCTAATGCTGATCACTCTACCTTGGTACCTTTATAGAAATATATCTATATCTGGTTACAGTAGAACAATGTTTTTCCTCTCCTCCATCTTATGAAATCCAGTGCAGCTGTCAGCCATGTTTGGTTCTGATCCAGTTGGTCTGTTCTCCTTTGGTTCTTGATGATCCCAGATCTG